CCCGCGGCGGAGGTGGCCAGGCCGCCCCGGGGGGGCGAGCGCGAAGGCGGGGGCTCGGGCCCGCCGCGCCCCCATGCCGCGGTGAGCACTCGCGCTCGGCGCACTTGTCGCCGCTCCGCGCCAGCCCCAGCGAGCCGGCTCTCCCCGCCCCGCCAGCCCGGGCCCTACCTGCGGCCGCCGTCGGGGGAGGGGGGTCCCCCCAGCTCTGCGGAGCCGCATGAACAATAGGCGGCGGCGGTTCCTGCGGGCGGCGGCAGCCCCGCACCCTATGGATCGGCCGCTCCATGGAGCCCTCCAGAGCGCTTCTCGGCTGCCTGGCGAGCGCCGCCGCTGCCGCCCCGCCGGGGGAGGATGGAGCGGGGGCCGCGGCCGAGGAGGAGGAGGAAGAGGAGGAGGAGGCGGCGGCGGCCCCCGGGGAGCTGGGTTCCGAAGCACCGCTGCCCTACTGGACGGCGGTGTTCGAGTACGAGGCTGCAGGCGAGGACGAGCTGACCCTGCGGCTGGGCGACGTGGTGGAGGTGCTGTCCAAGGACTCGCAGGTGTCCGGCGACGAGGGCTGGTGGACCGGGCAGCTGAACCAGCGGGTGGGCATCTTCCCCAGCAACTACGTGACCCCGCGCAGCGCCTTCTCCAGTCGTTGCCAGCACGGCGGCGAGGACCCCAGTTGCTACCCGCCCATTCAGTGTAAGGCGAAGGCGGGGCCGCGGGGCCGGGCGGGGAGCGGGGGCTGGAGGCCTAGGGGTGGTCTCGTAACGGGTGGGGAATGATTGACCCGCGGGTGGGTGTGTGCGCGCGCGCTCGCGCTGTAGGGGCTTTGGTGGGTGCGATGGGTAAGGTAGAGATGCCGCAGGCCTTGCCTGGAACCTCAGGCGCTCGGGCTCCTTAACCTTCATCTGACCACCTCAGCGGCAGCGTCTGCTTTCCACCTCCTGAAGCCCCAGCGTGAGAATCTCCCCATTTCCCACTCCCCGCTCCCCCCAACTGTGGAAGGATTTCAGGCCAGCTGGTAGTTTCTGTCCTAACCTTAGTCCCCAAATCAGGGACCTTCCTGACCTCTTCTGCCGCCTGTCCCCGCCCCTTCAAGGCATTTGCTAGGGAGCAGATGGGGGTGTCTCCCGCAGGGCTGGCTGGGCCGGCTCTCAAGTCCCGGAAGCCTGTGTGAACTCGGGTCGGAAGTGTCTTTGAAACGTCTTGTCTATTTCTTGGATCGCAATCATGTATCTCAGAAGTTGTACCTTTAGGAGTCTCACTGAGAAGGGTCTAGTGTGTGGAGAAGCAGGTGATGGGGTGAGAAATGATTAGAGAGGGAAAAAGATCTTCCCCCTTGAGAGTGACTAAATCCCAGTCTCTTGACACCCAGGCTGTTCACATAATACATTTCTCCTTTCTTCTCATCCTAGATCCTTGCCTATATTTGGTATTTGCCAAATCTCAAGTGAACCATGCCCACGGGTCCCTCCCAGGGCCTTTCTTCCAGTGTCCTGGTTTTCATCAGTTTCCCAGGAGCCCCCTGTTCCACACCCTGCTATAAAATTCCCTTTTTTGTTTTGTTTCGTTTTGTTTTGTTTTGTTTTGTTTTAAAGGAGTTAAATTGCCATTAGAATCCCTTAATCAGTTCTGCTAGGTGGTTTTAGAAGAAAGATGTAAATATCTTCTGTGCAGTTTACACTGTTTTATATTTGAGGGTTCTCTTAATTTCTTTCTTGCTAATACAGGTTTTGTTAATACATATTTATTATTGTTTATTCCAGATTTTGTATACTTTGCATTTTAGTCAATTAAAAAAATCATTCCCAGGGCCAACCTCAGGCATTGAATTTTTAAATTTCATTTGTAACATTTATCTTTCTGAAACAAACCATTTATCTTTCTGGTCCTATAACTTATTTTCACCTGAAGAATTGTGTTACTTTATGTAAGATGTTTATAAAATACCATCACTTAATATGAAAGTCACAACCTCTTTCCTTATTTTTCTGTTCTCCATTTTTATTGGTGTTTTGACTATCAAATTGATGTTCAAATCCTTAGTTCCCTTTGTTTTTATCTCCCTCTCATTCAATTTAAAACTTCGTGTTTCTACAATTTGATCTATATAAAGTCTGGAGGGGACAAATGACTTTAAATTGTTTCTGAGTGTTAAATCTTTTTGCATGTAGTACTGGGAAGGTGTAGGCTAAGGGTCCTAGCATACGGGTCTGAAATAGTGTTGAAGGTGAACATGGTCACATATTGGAAGAGATATTGGAAGAACGGCCTGGCATATTAGACACAGTGTAGTTTTAAACAGAAGTCAAATTGTGAGTTTCTTTGTGGGTGACTTCTTGTGATTTTTTTTTTTTTTTTTTTTTTTACAGCTAATGTCAGAGTAGGAGAGCTATGTGAGGCTCCTGAGCAGGGACTCAGTTTCTTTAATGTCTGTACTTCCAGCTATCGAGCAGTCAAGAGTGAATATGACTTGGGCTGGAAGAACTCATCTGCAGAACACCAGATGTGTCCACAGTGTGCTACATTAGCAGCTCCTCCATTAGGTGCCCAGGACTTAATCTTAAAAAAATTTTTTTTATCCTTTCTTCATTTTTTGATAGAGACAGAGCGTGAGTGGGGGAGGGAGAGAGAGAGGGAGACAGAATCCTAAGCAAGCTCCAGGCTCTGAACTGACAGCACAGAGCCAGGACTTAATCTTTAATGTAACAAAGGTTACCTTGGGTAGACTAGATTCCTGTATGTAGAATTCAGATGATGAGAAAGTAGGGAGTACTTTGTGCTTCTTAAAAGAACTGACTTGAAGAACATGAGTTTTGAAGGTCCTGGTAACTTATTTTATTTAGTCTCACCATGAGTTCTGAACTTGAATGGGATTAATTCTTGATAATTCAGAAAGTTTAATTTCATCCAAAAACCAATTAGAGTGCCTTGTGAAAGATGGATACTGTGTTAAATACCAAGAGATAAAGAAATAATAAGATACGGAGGTGCTTGTAAGTCATGCCTGAGGGAGATTGGTGATGTAAATACATCATTTCAGTGCAGTGCTTTGGTAAAGATGAACATGGGAAGTTGCTAACAGGTGCTCTGATGGGTTCCTGTGTCCACCAGTTCAGTTAGTGTCACTCAGAAAATAAAGGTGATTGGCAACCTTGTCTCCAAAGACTTTGGAATAAAATTGAGCCACTGACAGCTTTTCCCCAGTTACCCTTTTGAATTTCTCCTTTGAGGCATAAATTGTGACATTAGATTAAGAACAGCAGACACTCAGTTAAGTAATAATGTTCAGTTTTAGTTTCAAATATTGCTTTTCAAACTGAAAATTTTGTTTCAAACTTCATTCAAAACAAAAGAGGGGAAATTACCAAACCTTGTGACAAATTTAAAAAAAATAGTGATACTAGAAATCATCTAATATTTACATAGTGCAGTTATCCCCACCAATGTAGATATGAAAGTTTAGCTTTCCATGGAGCTGAAAAATACAAATAACCTAGGAACTCATTCATCTTTTTTTTTTTTTTTTTTTTTAGCGAAAGAGGAAAAATGTACAGTTCCAAATTTATCATCATGAGAGATAAATAGCCCTAGGTTATTTAAAAAAAAAAAACACAACAGTTTCTTTACGGGAGGATTGTGTCTGTTTCCAAGCAGGGTAGAAATTAAGGTTATTGCTAATTTACATTTTTTTTCTTACATCTACTAGAAACATAAGAATGTATTTTCAGGCATACTTGGGATTTTTAAATGAGTCACGTGTGTACCATTCCCTCGCCCAAACCCACCAGAATGTGCCTATACATTTAGTTTCCAAGAATACAATTGAGAGAGAATAACATCTTGACTGCAAAAACGAAAGAAATAAGGTTTTGTTCTTGATATTCCTGAAAATATCCATCCACAGAAACTGAAAAATGTACTGAATGTGACTTGACCTGGTTTTTACTTAAAACCAGGTCTTGACTGGAGGGGGAAAGGAGAGCCCCACATTCTCTCAGCTGCAGTGAAGGTCTAGTTCCTACCCAAAGGAATCTTCACAGGGAGAAGAAAAGAAAGTACCCTCCCCCCAGTCCTCACTGTTCTGTCTTCTATCTGCTTGCAAGCTGTGCTCTATACTTTTCTTGAAGGCTGGTCATACTATTTCCTTAGCTAGTTAGCAAGAACCTGAGAGTTTATGTTCTACCAGAGAGAGATTATCACTTTCCCTTCCCCACAGAGGTTTTCCGTCTTCTGTGAAATGCCATTTGAGGAGCTGTCCTTTCAGCACCCTGATTCAGAATCCCTTCTTTTAAATCCTTGTACGTTTAAATAAGTACTTAACACGTCCTGTGTGTTTACAACTATGCCTCAGAACAGAGGAAAGAAGGGAGGGTATAAAACAAAATACTGAACAGTTTATTCCCTTAAGGAAAATTCAGATATTCAGTTGAGGAAATAAGATGTGTAAATGCCAACTTGTTACAGAGACATATCTTTTCATCAGTGTAGAAGCTGTTAGAAAAAGTGAATGTTTGAGGCACCTGGCTGGCTCATTAGAGCCTGTGACTCAATCTCAGGGTCATGAATTCAAGCCCCACATTGGGCGTAGAGATTACTTAAAAATAAAATCTTTAAAAAAAAAAAAAAAAAAAAAAAGTGAATGTTCCTTCCCTCCATGACCAAGGAGAGTCCTGACATAACTTACATATTTCTCCAAGAGGGTTTCCTTTTTCTTTTTTCTTTTTTTCTTTTATTTGAGATGGAGAGAGAAAGAGAATGTGTGTGTGTGAGTGAGAACACAAGTCAGGGAGAGGTGCACGGGGGTGGGGTGGGGAAAGAATCTTAAGCAGACTCCACGCTCAGCGTAGAGCTGTGTGCAGAGCTCAATCCCATGACCCTAGGATCGTGACCTGAGCCGAAATCAAGAGTCGGACACTCAACCCACAGAGCCACCCAGGCGCTCCTTTCCAAGACAGTTTCTAACAGCCCCTTAATATACCCATGTTTTTCTCATTCATATAAATGAGATAAGACAAGAATTAGTAATCAGGATTCATTTTAGGACCCAGAAACATTTAAGCTATTTTAAGCAGAAAGTGAGTTAGCACAGGAAAATGAGTGCTTACAGAAGTGTTGGAAGGGCAGGGAGAAGGGGCTCTTAGCTGGGTCTGTGGGAACAACTCTCAGAACATTGCAGACCTGGCCCACCCGGCAAGCCACCACTTCTCTGATTAGAAACATACAGAATCAGGGGGTGACATTGAAGCTGTCAATCTTAGGAACACCCTCTTGTAGTTACTGTCCAGAGATTAGGCAACCACTTGACCTTACAACATTCCTTTCTCCCATCTGCCCAGAGCTAATGACTGACATGCAGGAAAATCCTACTTCTCCACAGCCATGCTTGCGAGGAGAAAAGCAAGAATATGGTGTCCATCTCACTTCTGCCTTCCCTATCTTGTGCATCTAATTGGCAGAAGCAGAACAGTAGCGGTAAGGGAGTCTGGGAAATGTAGTTCTTAACTTTCGGGCCTCCGAAAGATCACGTAGAGAATTGTAGAGCAGATGTTGATTGTTTGTCTGCAGGACCAGCCACACCATTGATTCTTCAAGAAGAGTGCCAGATGGAGAGGAAAAGCTTGAACAGCTGAAACTTTTGGGTCAAGATGGGCTATACCTTCTGTGTAACTTTTTGTATTCCTTTGTGCAGACTGCCAGTTGCATTGTAAACTACAAATGAATGTTAGCCCTAGATAGGCTAGGAATACTCTAATTCAGGGAGAATAGAGGTTTGAGGACTGCTAGCATCTGAGTGGAAGATGGAGGCATCCTGGAGCTGGCTGAGGAAGGAAGAGAACAGCAGTGGGCATTTCCTCTTCTGATCTTGCCAAAAGTTCAGAAATAGATCTTTGTTTTCTTCGTTTTTGTTTTGTTTTGTTTCGTTTTGTTTTGTTTTTTAGCAACCTTATTTTCTCTATCTGTTTCAGGAGGTCCAATGCATTTTTTTTTTTCAACTTTTCAGGTCTGTCTGAGTTTGGTTTAGTCCCTACTGAGTTAGATTTTGCCCCCATTTTACTTGACTATCACTTACCTGCTGAGTGTTCAGCAGGATGAGTACAGTGGTGAGTAAAGCAGACAGAATCTGCCCTTGTGAATCTCACAATCTAGCAGGACAGCAGGCACTGAACAAGTAATTAAGCCTTGCTGAGTCTTGCCAAACAGAGACTGTTATGGATATGTTTGATGGGGGCCTGACCTCATTGAGGCAAGGGTTAGGAAAAGTTCCCTTAGCAGATTTTGTTTAAGCTGAGACCTGAGGGTTGAATATGAGTCAGCCAGGTAAAGACAAACTGAGAAGACACAGCACAGGGTTTTCATGAGAGAAACATAAAATAGCACTTTACTCATATAGCAACACCTTATCTAGCTCAAGATTTATAATCACTGATAGCTATTATTATCTATCCATGGAAGCCTTTCCAAACAGAGCGGAAGATATAATCAGGTACCCTAGATTCAAACTCTGCATTGGAAAGAAGATGAGTGGTTGGGTGTGGTACTGGGAGAATCAGGATAGAGCTGTGGAGCAGGTGACTTCTGGAGTAAGATGTCTCCTGGGAGGCTCCTTTCCCACATATCCTAGTCACCAGGCCCTGGTAGAACCGCGTTTTGAAAATATCCTCCCAGTTTACTGCACACTCTCTGTCTTCACTGTTGCTGCTATTCAGACCTTGGTGTTTGCATGCCTGGGTTATTTCAGTGGCCTCCTTAGTGGTACCTTTTGCAGTAGGCTCCCCATCCGCCAGGTTATAGTCCACATAGCTGCCAGAGTCGATGTCCTTTCTAAGTCCCAGTCTAAAAGCACTCCTCTACTTAAAAATGCGCTAGTCCTATCATTCACAGTGTGAAGTTCAAGCCTCTCAGAATGACTTTTAAAACATTTCACAGCCTAGGTGACCCCAACAACACTTTGAGCCTCATTTTGTATCCTAATGCATCTAATGCAGTCCTACTGGACTCCCTACAGTTCTTAATATGCCATATACTCTCATGCCCCATGTTCTTGCTCGTGACCTTCCCTTTGCTTGGATTGTCCTTCTCCCACCCCGATCTTCACTGCCTGATGAGATCCCTCCCACTCATTTTCTAAGATTTTATTTTTAAGTAATCTCTACACCCAGTATGGGGCTCAAACTCATAACCCCGAGGTCAAGAGTTGCACGTTCTACTGACCGAGCCAGCCAGGTGCTCCCCTCTAGCAGACTCATTCTTTAGGGTGCATTCCCAATGTTGCTTTCCCTGAGAATCCTTTCCCACTCACCCTCTTAATCCTTGTCCTGCAGTGGGAGTTGGTGTTTTTCCTGATCTGATTATACTGCTATAAAGGTTCTTTTCACACCGTGGTTTGGTTGTTGTGTGGCTGCCTTGTCACTGGGTTGTACGCTTCTCCTCATCTAGTACACAGTAAAACGATCTCCTTCTGTGTTCCCTTTAGTTGAAATGGTTTGTCTTGGTATGACATTCTGTATGATGTCCCAAATAGAAGTTATTACATGAATATTTGTTGAATGCCTGCTATGTGCTAGTCATGAAGAATAATGCAATAAGTTAACATTTCCTGCCCTTTTGGAGTTTTCCTTACAGTGGGGAGACAAAAAAGCCAAGTGAACAGACAACTTGCTGTTAACCCTCCAGGTAAATGGGTGATTCAAGGGTGTTTTCAGAATGTTTTTGACTTCTTTTTTTCTTTTCTTTCTCAGTGTTAGAGATTGATTTTGCGGAGCTAACCCTGGAAGAGATTATTGGCATCGGGGGCTTTGGGAAGGTCTATCGTGCTTTCTGGATAGGGGATGAGGTTGCCGTGAAAGCAGCTCGCCATGACCCCGATGAGGACATCAGCCAAACCATAGAGAATGTTCGCCAGGAGGCCAAGCTCTTTGCCATGCTGAAGCACCCCAACATCATTGCCCTTAGGGGTGTGTGTCTGAAGGAACCCAACCTCTGCTTGGTCATGGAGTTTGCACGCGGAGGGCCTTTGAATAGAGTGTTATCTGGGAAAAGGATTCCCCCGGACATCCTGGTGAACTGGGCTGTGCAGATTGCCAGAGGGATGAACTACTTACATGATGAGGCAATTGTCCCCATCATCCACCGTGACCTTAAGTCCAGTAACAGTGAGTATGAAGAGATGGGGCTGGAGGGCTCAAGAACACTTTTTATACTCAGTCCATGGCTTGGTGGGAGTGGATTCCTAATGGAATCTCAGTGGGCAGTGAAATGCCTTGCTTAAAACCATCCCATCCTTGAGTCGAGATGTAGGGGTACAATGAGTGCCAGGAAAAATTGGGGTAGGAAAAGAAGAATGAGGCAGCTCAGGGGTTTGGGATAATTTTGAGCTCATACTAGCAGGCAAGGTTGGCAGTGTATAATTCTGATATGCTGTGCAAAAATCCACATATATACATAGATTTATTTTTCCACTTGAGGGAAGTGTGTCTGTAATTACAAAAGGGGTTTTCCCCTTTGGAGGAACAGCAGATAATGCAAATATATATTGCCTGCATGCATTCTTCCTGAGCACCCCAATTTGAGGTACCCACTAGGGAAGGGGCCATAAGGAAAAAGAAGCATGTTCTTTGAGCTGCGAGGCCGATCCAGATGATAATGTCAACCGGGAGAGCATGACCAGCTGGTAGTATTATGGACTCCTGATAGCCTACGGGTATTATTAATTAATTGTTGTAACTACCTAGTGTTTAATAGCAGGGAACTGAGTAGTAACTGTTTATTAAACATCCAGAATCCATAAACTGGATTGTAAAGCAAGTGTTAGACATAATTACATGGTAAGTTGGTAGAAACCAGTCTCCTTGGCAGAATCGGCAGGTGCTGGAACTGTGCTGCTTTTGTGTGGTGATTCGTGCTCTCTCTTGCCTGAACTGTGTGGTATAGAGGATAAAATTTGTTAAATGGTATATAAATCACTTTGAGCATCCTGTCCAGAGAGGAGGGAGTTAGGGTTTTGGAGAGTGGTGTGGGTCCCCGGAACTTCACTCTCTGTCTTCTTCAGCATTGAGCCCAGAAATCCTTCAGACTTTGTTCCGAGCTGTTCCAGATGTGGTTTATTTTTCTGTTAATACTACTGTGAATCTGTTTACTTTAAAAAATACTTTTTAAATTTTTTAAAATAATAAGTAAAATTATATAAGTAGTGCATGTTTTTGTTGTATAAAAGTTAGTAAGTGTAGATAAAAAAGAAAGAGAGAGAGAGAAAGGTAACCCATAATGTTTTCCTTCAGGAAGCATAAGTATTACATTTGACATATCCTTCTAAATATTTTTAAAGTAAATACACACACACACACACAAATATATTTTCCAATTTACTTTAAAATAGACTTTCTTACCCTTAAAGTAAATACACACACACACACACACACACACACACACACACACACACATACACCCCAATATATATTTTCTAATTTACTTTAAGATAGCCTTTCTTACCCTTATCTCTTCTACCTGAGCCTTCTTCACCCTTAACAATAGAAAAATTCATCCTGGGGCACCTGGGTGGCTCAGTCGGTTAAGCGTCCGACTTCAGCTCAGGTCACGATCTTGTGGTCCGTGAGTTCGAGCCCCGCGTCAGGCTCTGGGCTCATGGCTCAGAGCCTGGAGCCTGCTTCCGGTTCTGTGTCTCCCTCTCTCTCTGCCCCTCCCCTGTTCATGCTCTGTTTCTCTTTGTCTCAAAAATAAATAAACGTTTAAAAAAAAAATTAAAAAAAAAGAAAAATTCATCCTTTCAAAAGCATGGAACATTAGATATAATGCATGTAAGGGATTTAAGTTCCATAAAATAAAATACGATTATTCTCATCCCTCCTCTCAAATTCTGTAAATGTTTAAATAAGCTAAAACTTTTGGTGACCCTTTTCACATTCTGCCTAGACTTTGCTTTGGATGATGGGGTAAGAATAAGCAGATGAGTTCGTAGAAAATGTAATGTAGAAAGTGAACTTTATTTTTTCTTATCATGCTAGGAGAAGTAGGCAAAGTGCTCTAATCTTAAAAACTTGGGCTAGGATGATGGAACTGTAAAAGTCAATCATTTCCTCCAAGAAGTTTCAAACTTGGGTGTAATTTAAGCTAAACACAAGGATTTACCTTTTGTGAGATTATGTATGGAAGTCTAGGTTCTTGTGAAGGAAAAGTTTACTTGCTGCAGGAGATGGCAAGAGACCTCAATGCCATTCTGTCATCTGAGAGACAAAACCCTGGTCTTTCTTTGTCTTTAGGGGGCTTTAGGATTGCCAAGGTGGAGCCCTCAGGTGTACTATGTCGTGATGAGAGTTGGACTTACATGGGGCAGTATGTATGACCCTTGACCTCCTCACGGTAACAGATGCCCAGAAACGTGCATAGTCCATTGGGCTGTGTGGTTGGTGCTGATATTGATGTCTGCTGTATATCTCTCATGGGAGCTGGGGTAGCTTCTTGAAAGTTGTCTGTGGTGGCTGTTTGCCGGGACTGTATAAATCCAATATGAGCCTTGATGACGTCGTTGTTTTTACTCCATTGCTCTGTGGGCGTGACTTGAAAATCATTTTAATCATTTAAAATAATGTTGTGCTAGTTTTTACCCGCCAGGTGGAGAGTCAGAATTTAGTGTTTTTGCAGACCTGGGTACACTGGCCTGTTTTTTTCTTGGTTCCAGAGAGTTGGATTTTGGTCGCTGTCATGTGAGGGCAGAATGCTATGAATCCTACGTGTTAGTTGACTTAGAACCACTAGAGAAAAGAGAACGTATCTATTGGGGCTGTCTTTGTGGAAAAAAGAAAGTAGTTGGTGACAAACATACGTTACAAAAGATTCAGTAAAAAGGTGATTTATTAAAATGCTTTATTATCCTAGTCACCTACTTTTAAAAGTCACGTGCTGTTACCTGACAATGGAAAATGTATAGCATCCTATATTGGTCCATAATCCTCAATAAGTTTAGGGTTGGCTGCGCATCACCTAAAAACCAAAATATCAGTGGCTAAAACAAAGTATACATTCATTTGTCTTTGAAAAAAAGTCTGCAGGGTTAAGAACACCACAGTGTCATCAGGGACCCAGGCTCCTATTTTTCACGGCAGCCCAGTACATGGGTTGCATCCTTAGGCTTGCCTTATGGTCTAAGATGGCTGCTGAAATGCCAGTTATTTGGTCCAAGTAACAGGCCTGAAGGGGGACAAAAAGCAGAAGCCCAGAAAAAGGTGCTCCTGACACTGAGTTGGCTCCCATGAACCTCCCAGAAGTCCAGCAAGACTCATCTGCTTGCATTAATTGGCCAGAATGTAATCATTTAGCCATGGCTGGCGCAGAGGAGGCTGGGAGAGGCAGGGCTTTAATCTGGGTGGCAGCGAACCCAGCTAGTAATCAGGGTCTGCTGCCAGGGGAGGCCGGTGGTGGAAGCAGCTGGCGGTCTTACCATGGCATCTTAATGTGGGACATGCATTGGGAAGAACTATTACTTCAGATATTAAGCATCATATAGCCAAACAAGGTTAGCCAGGCCTTGGGACGTGTGGCTCAGTCCCCCGATTTAACTAATGGTTTATACTACTTTACCATGTTGCATCATTAACTTAAACATCCCTTCTTAAACTACTTGCAGAAAACCTTGGCTATATAATTGGATTTGTGTCTCACTCCATCCACTGGGGAAAACCAGCGACTTGATGGTTAGCAAAGGTGTCAGTGAAAGATGGTCTTTTAGTGGAAAGATTGCCCTTTTGGGGGTAAGGAGATGGATTTCTGGATTTTGGCTTACAGGCATTTGGCAGAATAGCAGTTTAATAGCGGTCATTCAAGCTTACATTAGTGTAAAAATGAGATCATAGGAAAAAGCTTTGGACATTGAAAAGCCTTGCCCAAAGTGAAGGTTGTGTTATTACTTTTATTATTAAATCACTTCTTTTCTCCTCTTAGAAAACACAGAAAAACATAGAGGTAAAGCAGTTTTTCCAGTTTTTGCATTTATGTGTGTTTTTTACCCAGAATCATACACAGGAAATCCTAATAACCGTGTAGTATGCTTTCATGCTGTCCTCCTTGTCAGCGGGTCGTGACTTGTTACGTAAATAAATATTCTTCCACCACAAGGTATTTAAAGGTTGCACAGTCTTCTGCTACTTAGATATGCTGTATTAGCTAAACCAAACCCTTAATAATAACAGTAACAATAATAATATAACTGATGTGATTGGGGCACCTGGGTGGCTCAGTTGGTTAAGCGTCCGACTCTTGATTTGGGTTCAGGTCATGATCTCATGGTTTTGTGAGTTTGAGCCCCTTGCCAGGTTCTGCGCAGACAGCGTGGAGCCTGCTTGGGATTCTGTCTCTCTGTGTCCCTCCCCCACAAGTGCATGCACTTGCTCTCTCAAAAAAAAAAAAAAAAAATATATATATATATATATATATATATATATATTATATATAAAATGAGTGCTCTCTTCAGGTCAGGCACTGTCTGAGCATTTCATGTAGATTCTGTTTTAATTCTTACAGCAACCCTGCCGAGTAGACTATGAATGTCTTTTTTTTGCAGATGAGGAAACTAAGGCTCCAAGCGGTCATCCATTTCTCTAGGATCTCACCTCCAGTCCTAAGAGCAGACTTAGCACCCAGGCCTGACCCCTCAGCTTGTGTTCCCAGTCACCACGCTGTTGCTGGCACACTGCTTTTGGGCAGCTGGGGCGTCTCGCTGAATTGCTTCACGTGGGCCTATAGTGCTTTGGTTTTATAGAATTAGGAATGCTATTGCTGTCCTACTCAGAGAGCCATAGCAGCCACATTTCATTAAGAGCTGATCAATTTACTCTTAACTTCATAGCTGAAAACCAGAGGTGAGTGGTGGACTGCATTTGGTTGGGACTAACCACACCTGCCTTCTTTGGTTTGGATGTCACCCGAAACTTCTCATGAGGTCTTTGCTGCCTTTATCTCTCTCTTCCTCTAAAGGCACTTTCCCCTTAAGCCAAGCTGGTTTCCTCTTTCCCCTGGAATACACTCTGTGCTTCCGGGCCACTGAGGCCTCATTACACCCCTGCCATGGGAATAACCTTGCTTCCCGGGGTGGCCTTGCCTCGTGTCTCTGCCTGTCCAAACCTTACCCATTTTCCTGTGC